TTGGTGTTATCCAGGGTGGGTTTTGGCCCCACATCTTGAGAGAAGAGTTGGGCCTGACGGTTATTTTCCTTCGGGGTTGGGCCAGGGGAGGGTGCGCCTCAGGGGGGTCCCTACCGACCGGGTGCGCATGTTGGAGGTGGTTGAGTTGGAGCAGGTTGGAGCCCGCCACCGGGGTGGTTTCGAAACAAAGAAAACCCCCTCACCGCCCCGCCCGGCGGAAGAAAGGTGACCGGGATCCAACCAACGATCGAACACAAAGTATCATGTGTGTGAGTGCTTCTTTTCTTGTGGTGGTTCCATCATGAAGAGCGATCTCACAGAGTAAAGTCACATCATACGAGGAGGAAGATCAGCGCGTGCATGTGCCGGATCTTGTAGGCTCGCCCGGGTAGTCGGGGTAGCCGGGGTTTTAGGTAGCCGGGGATGATACCATGGCGTCGTCCACTGCCCAGCAGGCGCTGTTTGTTCGCCCTGAATGGTGCAATAAAATATTGCACCAAAACAAACGCTGGGAAGTGCGCGGCTTCAATACGAAGAAGAGGGGGACCTATAGCCGAGAGCGGATCGAACCTGCTGGTTGGAACTTTCACCCTGAAGAACTCTTTTAGAATCGCTACGCAGATGGATGATGGCAGTTGGCAACCTGTTGATGGCCAGGCAGACACCTTTGCAGGGAATGAAGCGAACTATGAGACCATGGGTTTTCGGCTTGAAGACCTGCCACATTTCATGCGCAAGTACAAGAACTTGTGGGCCTGGGAAATCACCAATGTTACGGTTTTGAGCCCTCCTAAGCCTTGGAATCCAAGACGAGGAGCGGTTGTGTTCTGCAATGTGCATTTGTCTGAGGAGACAGCTCCCAAAAAGAGGAGACTAGACTAGAAATTTTGACCGCGCGGCGACGAAAAAGAAAGCAGCAGACCCGCGATGACTTGCACGCCGCTTTGGTGTGAATGTGAAACACATGTGACAAAGCATTTTCATCAGTGTGTGTGTGTGTGCGCGAGATACTCTTATGATCCCAAAGAATGACTCTGCATCATGAGCTAGCAATAAGCCAGCATCAAAAAAAATGTCGTGGAAGTTTAGAAGGGAAGTCAATTTGCGGTGGGATTGTGGAATAGGGATTGGTGAAATTACAGCATTGCAGGACTTTTTGGTAACGAAACTGTAACAAAATAATTTGGCAGGGGGGGGTTGGGCGCTAACTTTTTTACAACGGGCTAGGATGTCTTTTTGTCAAAAAGACCAACCTGAAACTGGCTAGGATGACAAGGCCAACCTGATCCAAGCGCTTGCGACGAACCAGTGCTACGATGATTTCAGCTTCATGGCAGCATTTTTTCCGGAAGCAGCTTGTGTTTGGTCGCATTGCCCTTTTCACCTGCCGCTTCCATCTTGTTCTTGTTCGGTGTTTCCATGGCTGAATTGCAGTTCCAAGATTTGGGCGCCCCAATCAAACACGTGATTTGAGTGTTTGCACAACCAGCCCTGAGCTTTGTGGTCGAACGCTGTGCCAGTTCAGCATGCTTCATGCCCACAGCTTGTTTAGGGTTGATTTTTTGTGGGTGTACTTTGGTAGGATGTGCGCACTGTCAATGAAGTTTCCTGGTAAATTCGTTTCAGGTCCTCATTTAACTCACGGAACAATTCCAAGTTGCCCTTCAAAGCTCTGGGCCATGAATCCAGGCTTGAGCTTTGAACAGCTACATAACATGAAGAACATTCCATGGCATCTGCAAATTATACATTGTTTACCTTAAATGCTAAGTTTTTTTGATTGGTACACAGACAGACCCCGGCTATATTTTCCCTTTTTCTCTTTGCCATGTGAATTTCTGAAACTGGGTGATCGGGTGATTACGTCTTTGTGTTGGCTCGGATTCCAGGTATACGAATTGAAACAACTCGCAGCCAAAGTAACAGAGTTCAAAGATGTGGCTCGGGATGATGGTAAACCCGACTTTGCCAAGCTGCACTCTCACGTGCTGCGCGTGCGCTTGCAGCACGTTCGAGCACGGAATTGTTGGCACCTGCTGCGTTTGTGGCACCGGACACGTACAGCTTCATTCACCAGCGAGATGCTGGCCGAATCATGTGCGTCCGTGGTTCGCTTCGTTGAGAGAAAACACTCGGTTGGTCATTCGTTAAGTTTGCAGAGTTTGTGCGATTCTGCGATGTTACGATTGCATGGCATTCGTGGGTCCATGGAAGAACTTCCATTCATTCGAAGTGCTCTTCAGGAACACTTTCAGAAGGATATACCACACTTCTTTGTTCAGGCTGCATACAGGAAACGCCGAGATCTCTCTCCATGGGTCCTTCCCGCACTCTGCAGCGCCTCCGTGTGCCATGGCCAGAACAAATTTGTACTTTTCAATTGTTGACTGACGCTAGAAACATGAGAGCTTTCCAAAGTGTTATCACGTGAAAAAAAGGTTTTTCCAAAGAAAGAGCGAACATTGCAACAAGATACGACCAAAGAATTGTAGGCTATTTTTTAAAAACCATATAGTCATCAGGCCTTGGCTGATGCGTCTGAAAATGCAACACGAATGTGGCCTTGGCTGCATGAGCCGATGAACCCTCCGAAGTACTTGCCAGAGGGTTCCCCTGACGATCCGATGTACGACTCTGACTTCTCGGAAGACCTGTGGAAGAATCTCGACGTGCTGCTAGCGGCGTATTTGGGCCAGTTTCAGAACAGATAGCCTTGACGAAGCTTTCTGGTGAGAAAAATCCGCCCACCGAGCTGCCCGCAGGTTTGTGAATGTGGGGTTCCCCTGTTTTTGCTTTGATGTTGTATCAACAGACAAACTACAAACACTTCATTTTAGGAAAAGATTTCCTGACCTATGCATCCCACCTGCCAAAAACTAGTCAACCACCAGTTAGGTTGAATCTTGTGCCAGTTTCTCAACTTTGTCCCATGACCAAAGGGTTGCCAGAACTTGCTGAAATGATCCCATGGAGGTCCAGACCTGATCATCAAGCTCCAAGCGCTTGCGAAGAACCCGTGCGACGATGATTTCAGCTTCGTGGCTGTATATTTTCAGGAAGCAGCTTGTGTTTGGTCGTTGCCCTTTTCACCTGCCGCTTCCATCCTGTTCTTGTGTTGTTCGGTGTTTCCATGGTTGAATCTGGGTGCCCAATCAAACCAAGTGACTTGAGTGTTTGCGCAACCAGCCCAGAATCTTTGTGTTTGTTCGAATGATTTTTCTTTCTTGTTGGTTCGAATTGCCGTTACTTGACCTTATCTCTGCTTATCTCTGCTCCTGTAGAGCCAAATGTCCGGCCTATCTTGAGCGATCTTGAGCTACCTTGAGAAAAGATACACCAATTTGCGACGTTCAAGACGCTATCTCGCGGAGACGTCCTTTAGATAGTGACTTCTGGGGCTATGTTAGGCAATATGGAAGCTATGTTGGGCCACGTTAGGGGAACCTGTTCAGCCAAATGTCCGGCCTCAGTCCAATTACACTTTACCGCTCAGATGATTCGGATCATGCAAAGGAAGAAAATGGCAATTCTTGCGTCACCAGGGGCTTCAAAATAGCGAAAATTAGCACACATTCATCTTCCAACATTTTAGGCCGGTTCCAAAAACGTGAACAAACATAGGATTCTAGAGCGAAAATGCCCCCCTAGCCAAAGCTATTAGCACAATCCTAGCTTGTGTAAATCGCGTGCCTGAAAAGAACGCCTCAGCACCTCCGGTGCGGGCGGATTTGTTAAACTGTTGAGCTTGTATAGCTCTTCTGGAGGTGAGATTACTGCTTTAGCACGCTTTAGCAGTTTCTTTGGGCCTCGTTCGAGGGCTCTCGAGGGCCCTGAGAGCTGCTCTCAGGGCGTGAGCAATGCGCTTCAAGACGTCCTTCACCACATCCATGTCTTGCAGAAGGACCGTGGACGTCCAACGACACGTGGACGCCCAGTTGGATCCGGAAACCGTGAGACGTTTGGAAAGGACAGAGTCCGCGTGTGAAGATCTGTGAAGATATCCAGAATTGTAATAGAGTCTACATGGACAAATGCCCTAGGGCAACTGGTAGCAGTGGATTATGACTCCTAGGTGGTGTAAAATGAGTCATTGGAATGTTTGGGTTCCCTTTGCCGTTTATGGAGTAGATGCGACACGAGCAGGTGCACCAAGGTACTGACGTTCACGCTCGCTATGTGCAATGCCAGGATCAGACTGCACAACTGCTGGGCTTGGATCGATTGGCCAAGCAGGTCTGATGTTTTTGAAGTTCCAAAGTGAGAACCACTGGCACCTACTGTCTTAGAATCAACTCGAGCTGCTTGATGTTTCAGTTGCTTGCTTTCTTCTTGTTGTCACAGCTTCGTCGGCTTCGCCCTTTATTATTTTGCCTCTTTAAAGGAGCACAGGAAAAGGTTTCATTAAAAACACACTCCGCAGTAGCCCTTTCGAGCCGACCGTCAAATTGCCACCTCAGCTGTCGCGAGGCACATGGATGTTGACAGCTGCTCGAGATCCATTGTTGGAGTGAAAAAAGTACAGCGCATGGGGCTACCGCTCTCTGTTTTAGGGAAGTGTGTTTTGATTATTTTTGTTATTGTTTTTTGACCTAAAAATGTCTCATCCCGTTCCTCCTTACCTCCCTCCTTACCTCCCTCCCTACCCTCCTTACCTCCCCCAGGTTGGAGCCGTAGGGCCCATTCCGCTAAGAAAGTTGGTACAAGTTGTTTGGTATTTCATGATGATAACTGCAGAGATTTGTTCCAATGCCCCAACGTACTGGATCTTGGAATTCCCGCCCTCAAAGGGATTCCTGAGCAACAGGGAGGCCTAAATATCCTAAATACTTGATACCCCCACACTATAGCAAACATTGGCCATAGGGGAATCCTTGAATTTGAGGGCTCACCCTCCGCTCACGGGCATCTGTAACCCCCTTTCGAAAGGAACCAGTCGCATGGAAGCCGCCGCTGCCTTCCAGTCGGCTTCCGGTGCCGCCCTTTGAGACCAACTCTCGTAGGAGCGTGCCTTCCATGCGCATCATGGAGGAACAGCTCGCACCGAGCGTCGCTGGGCACAGAGAGGTCTACGGCGGCAGGTGGGGAGCCGGCAGGTGGGGAGACGGCGAACAATGTCAAGCGGGGGGGCAGTGGTGTGTGCTAACCCGGCTTCAGTTGCACTCTCTCAGCAGGCTTATTACTGCTTCGTGTTCTGGTCGTTGGAGGCTTTGGCCCGTTTTTTCTAGGCTTCCGCCGCACATGGCGAACCCGGCTTCGGCCTGGCCAGCCAGAACCGAATTCAGGCACTTTCGGGGTCGACTGGGAATCGCAGATAGAACTCCACGGAATCGGAGAGAACCCGCCATGGTTAAGGCCGCTCTTGGATCTCTTGGGAGGGCCCCAACTGGTCGTCCCAGAATCTGGACTGGAAGATTACATGAACCCTTGGAAATCTTAAAAAACATCTTAAACACCACCCATCCCTTCAAAACGGCAAAGATTCTAGATTGATGCAGGTTGATACTCTCATCCCATGAAGTATTTGTGCAAGTGATCGCATTGACCTCATGAGACCCCACTAGGTACTCGCAGCCGATGCATGCAGCCGTCGGCCAAGGCCGTCTTGGTCTTTGGCTGGAACGGCACCGAACTCAGCATCGGATCGCCATAGGAACCAAATCGAAGGGAGGCCTCCAAGTAAACCAACAAATCATGTACCCTAGGGCTCCAAGTACCTTCTCAGATGGTATGACTGGACCCTGTAAACCCACCCAAAACACCTTCTTAGAAAGTACTTGGAGCCCTAGGCGTGGGCTTGGCTGTTGATAATATTTCAGCCCGCCCAGGCCTGAAGCACCTCTTCAGAGGTGGTATAAACACTCCAATTTTGGAGCCATTTTTTTGGGGGAGTCTTATGCAGCTTCCGACTCCTCTCCAGAGAAATGAAGCTTCCTATTTGGACCAGTGCTGGGCCACGCTCGTGCTGGGAGGGCCGCAACGGACATCTCAGAGCTCACTTGGAAGGCTCCGATCAGGCTCCTACCTAGCTCTGATGAGTTTGTAAGAGGCTGTGCACCATGGGTACTTTGGGTATGCAATAGGGCCCCTGATTTTGCCAGAGGCTTTAGCAGAAAAAGAGAACACATGTCACCAGGACTCGGCTTCCTTGACGGAGCATTTCCGTGCTCCCAGATCCCAGCTTCAAAATAGACCCACAAATAGATTGAACAGCAGGTCCCCACTAAGAATGAATTAGAAAGCGTTTCTATTTATTTCCCAGACCCTCCATGTATGTCATATATTCATATATATATATATTATTGTATGAATCGATATTACACATTAATACATATTTAATACATTGGGGTGCTTGACCTTGGGTTAATGCATAAATATATATAGATATTCCAGTCCCATGGAGTGTGTGGCTTGGAGACCAAGGTGTGCTGAACGCAGCAGTGAACGGCGAGTACCTGCGCCGGACCGCCCCAGGGCGTGCCTCCTATGCCAAGAGCGACGGCTCAGCAGAGCTTTTCTATAACGAGGTGACTTTGGGAATGACGCAAGGTCAGAGAGAGTAACATGAGAAAACATACCACCCACCCTCCAAACAGGGTGTTTTGCACTAGTAGCGCTCTAGTAGTAGCCCAGCCTACTTTTAGAGGTTAGATCAGGCGGTGTTCAGTAAGCACCCCCTTGTGGGTACTGGTTGATGAATTTGTTCGTTGATTTTTTTCCTGTTGAGGATGAGGACAAATTTGCCACCCAAGTGACCTGCCTGCCCGCCCCGTCTTAGGGTTTCATGAATCGCCGAGTTGTTCGGAGTGATGCCCAAACACTCCAATGTGTGGAATATTGTGTATATGCCTACATTGACCCCCAGACCACCCCAATGTAGGCAATTATGTTATAAATAAGTATGTATACAGTACATGATATGGAGTGAATGTATGATCTTTGTTCATGCTTGACTCGCAGGCGGGCAATGTGGTTTCCCATTTCCTGGTACTAATTTGATTATATTGTCCAATCAGCTTTGCAATTGTTGTGCGGCGTTGTGTCATTGTGTAGCGTAGCATAAATGTAGCAGGCGTAGAACAGCTGATTGAACTGAACCTGCCCTCTCTTTTACCCTACCACCATGGATCGCACCTCGTGCAAGATCCAAGAATTTGAACATCATGGTGTGCACAGTGCACATGCTTGCATGCCTTGTAAATTTCCCCATCAAGATTCGTGAAGAGCTTCTGAAGCTTACGTATATCTCCTCTGAACCCAATTTCCTGTACAATATCCTTGACTCAACATCCGAAGAATGATTCCGGGCTGTACGCTTCCGGCCCCATCACCCGGAAGCCGCCAGGCAGAGGCTCTCTGGACCATCCGCCGCGGGTCCAGTGCACTGGCGACCTGCAGTCGGCCGCACGTGCGAGATCCTGTCCGCCTGCCGTGGCTCGGACCATGACCACAGTGACCACAGTGACCAGCCGTCCGAATGGCCGCTGTTGTAGCGCATGTGGCCAACAGGTGTCCTAGAAGTCCTATGTGTCCAAGAAAGTGTTCTCTTGTTGCGGGGAGAACCGAATCACCTTGCAAGCATTTTCTCACACCCTAAGGCCGTTGATAATCAAAAAAAGACAAACGCGAAAGCCTCCTTCACCACGGCGCCAAGGAGTTCCTTTTTCACCAGAATGCCTGACCTACGGCAGCCAGGTTGATGAACAAAGGCCAGACCGCCAAGTGAACCACCAATCATATAGGCGATATTTCAACCCTTCCAGGCCCAAAGAGGTTTTACAATCCAAAAGGATCCAAGCGGGGGAGTCTTATGAAGCTTCCGACTCCTCTCCAATAGAGAAACGAACCTTCCTATTTGGACCAGTGCCGGGCCACATTGGGATGTCTTGGGGGGTTATTAACCAAGAGTCAAGACTCGGCCCATTTGCGGGCCGCAAGAGATTTGCCGCTCAACAGCCCAGGAGCTGTTGGAATGTCGCCCACTTTGCTGCCCCTGCACTGCAGATCCGCGCACTCTCCCCAGCAGTTGCGCTGATGCTGGAGGGAAACACCTCCTGCGACGGCTCAAGCCTCAATGGAAGTTTTGAAGGTTGTCAAGTAGCTGGCACGTGAGGATGATGCATTTTGGTAAGTTCGGGGGAGTTGACTTGAACATCTACCGGGCTTGGAGCATTCTCAAAGATCGATAGTCTGATGGCCAAGGAGTCTTCGAGCTCATGGGCCTTTGGAACAGACGGCCAAGCTATTTGGAAAGAGGCAAGTAGTCATGTTAATGCATGGTCTTCCTCGCGGAAATCCTTTTGTGATGATATTCTCTTCCTCCCTTGGGTATACTCTCAGGCCTTAGCCCTCTTTTGGTTTATGAAGGATGTACAACATTGACTAACCCCCTTTAGGGTTAAACCCGTTTCAGGAGATCCAAGGACAGTCAAGCTTTGCGAAAAGAAACATTCATGCAGAAAGAGCCTCCGCTGTCAGTGGCACATCAGCTGCAGATTTGCAACTTTCACCCATCAAACTCTTTGCTCAATTGCTCAAATCCTAAAGTGATGGAGTGATGCTTATGCATGTGGGTTTGCCAAGACTTCTGGGAAGCCAAAAATGCTGTGAAGACCACTATTCACTGTGCTCAGCTTTGCATAGACTGAGGATCTTTCCCTTGCATGGACAAGAATGGACGTGACTCGCATGTCATGTTCGACCACCTACTGCATGCCCTACACACATCTGACCGAACAGGTGTGTTTCACTCAGGAGATTCGATGAAGAATCCAAGGTCAAGCTTTCTTAGCCAGGGTCTTCGGTCGGCCAGGGTGTTTGCCGTGGAAATGGCTTCCACCGGTTTTGGTCGGCCAGACCCGGGCTGAAGGAGAACTTCCGTTTGTACTGTACCTATTCCAGCGATTTTCCAAAATGGATTCCAAAGGAAGGGTGATTAGTCCAGGTCATTTCAGGTCCATATAAACATTAAGTGCGCGGATGTTCTGGGCACCCAGACTTCTTCCAAGTTCGGCACTCACCCCAACATGGAACAGCTGGTTATTGCACCTCACTCGGATCTCCTCTTGTCCTTCTGGATCCAGCTACCATAGGTCCCCGGTGTGTCCAAGTGTAGACCTCGAACATCTCTGACCATCTTGGTTCTGTCCCTATGGATTCAGATACTTTGTGAGAAGCTGATGTTTTCGAACCTTTGATGCATGTGGATTGAGAGTGGATGGCAGAGACCACAAGAGGTGGTTTGTATGGAACCCCCAGGATTTAGTGGCCTTCGTGATCGGAAAAGGCTTTCTTCACGCACCTCGCAGGGATGATCATTTGTCTCCTCCTGCTTGGGGGGTCTTGATTTTCTCAGGAACTGGTGAACCCCTACCGTCAATCCAACGGGTGCGATCACCAGACGCAGGCCTGCCGGCCTCCCGCGAACTGCGCGGCGGACCCGCGTCCTGCTGGCTCCGCTCGACCACCACGCGGTGGCACTTGGGAGCTGGAAATACCGAGGCGGGGAGCAGAGGCCGTGGTTTCCGTGGATAATCCCAGTGACCTGTTGGTTTTTTGACACCATGACACCATGGCCAGTGGTGTCCCCCCAGTTTTCCGTGTTTTTTCCCGCCCCAAAAGGTTTCTGACACCATGACACACAGACTAGAAGCATGCAGGAGGCATCTCACGCAATGATAAAAAACACACACACACATATATATATATATTATTGATTATTATTGATTATATTGGTTTCAGTTGGTCTCCATTTGTGTCAACCATTGACGGCTTATTACAGTTGGATGCTGTAAAGCAAATTTCAGCACCTGGAAGCAACAACACCCCACAGCTGCGTGTGCCCCTGTTTTTTGGGCGCTGGCCAACTCCGGATGTTTTCTAGCGGGGCAGAGCTTTTGTCCCACTCGGCACTGTCGGTCGGTCCAGGCCAAGTCTGCCACGGAACAGGTCGCGGACGAAGACCACGGAACAGGCAGCTTCTCACCCGAAGCTGGCTTCGCGGAGGCGATGCGCTTGGAAGGAGGCAGGCGGTTGGGGTGGCGAACTCGTGGAAGCAGATGTGAGATGACAGCTTGGAAAAGGTGGTGGGGTAAAGGATGTTGAGGAGACGTGATGGATAGGAATCAAGTTGCTTCAAAAACATAGTTGCCGTTGATTCAAAGGGGTTCAGGTAATTAGTAGGTAACGTTTGTTCTTTTCCTGTGAGGGAGTTTGAAGCCGCAAATGCACAGGGTTTAGTGATAGCCAGAGTTGGGAGTCTGTGAATATGTCAATGAATCGAAAAATTGTATCGAATTGCACTTGCACATGTACTCTGAAAAGTTGACATTATTATGATTATATTTGATCAGATCTAGAATCTAGATGTCCACTTTACCACGTCAAGACTCTTGGCTCAAATCCCCACTTAAGGTTTCTGGGATTTGCGGTAGTTGTTGGATTTGAGCCAAGAGTGCTGAGCAGAGTAAGTCAAGTAAATATATATATATATGTTTTTTTGCAATGCTTGCATGCTCCCTACGACAAAATGATTCAAATAATTGGCCCTTTCTCATGGCTCATTGCTTTTGCTGGAGGCTTCGGCCTAAGAAGATTAAAGATTCTCTAGCAGCTGTAGTCATTGGTTGCCCAAAGGGTGGAAACCTCTTCCCTTCCAAACATAAGTGGAGCATCCAGTGGCGCGTCCTTGATCTTTATTGAGGTTGGCGCTGGAGGTCCTTGCAAGCAGCTGAGCTTAGACTTCAGTTCGGATCCTTTGTGAAGATTTGCACCATGCAGCTGACATGGAGTATGGAAGGGACCTGCATTCCTTTTGCTGGATGCATTCCTTCAACAGAACATTATTTTCATTTGCTTGATTGGATGCCTTTAGCAGAAACATGATTTTAACCATTGTTCATCTATATTCTCTCACTATACTGGCTGGATTGGATTGAATGGGGAGTCTAAGCCGGTTCTGGGCTGCTTTCCGCTCCTCTCCGAGGCTGTGGCACCGTTGGAGCTGCGCCTGCGGCGCGTGCCGGTCGTAGGCGCCAAGCGGTTGCAGGTCCGAGGAGCGCAGGCTCGACTCTGCGTGTTACTCGAGTCATCAGCTGAACAGGGACACCCTGAGTTTGTTTGTTTTTTATTTGTGTTTAACCGGTTTCAGCCAGCTTTTTGGATTGGTTGGAGGGTGTCTTTAGGAGTTGCTTTTTCTCCCAGCTGAGCTATTTGGCTTTAAACCTCTTGGCCCTCTTGGTGCAGGTGTTGGAAGGGACCTACCTCCGTGTTGAGGATCATGATGGACGGGCAGCGTACGAACGCCTCTCCGGTGAAAAGGTCAGCTTGAGATACAGCAATTTGAAGCTTAGCAGCTTAGTGCCGTTTCAGAGAGGTATATCCTTTTGTTCGGAGGCCACTCTCGATTTGGCAGACGAACATGTTGCGTGGTGGAAAGATGTTTCCACGGATGCACATGGTATTTTTGTCAAGCTTCCTGGAACTATAATAATGCAGAAAGCCGGGCTTCATCTCAGAGATTTCATATTTTGTGTCATGTATGAGCACAAAACTCATATGTATATGTTTTTCTCAGATTCATGACCAAATCCTTCCACACGATGGGTACCCGGTTCTCTGCTCCAGAGCCAGGTCGCGACTTTGTGCGCGAACCATTCAAATCAGGTCTGTAATCATAGCAGCAGGACCTTGCAAATGAGTTCCTCCCATAGCCCAATCTCTTCTTTCCACATCTCTCGCACCGAACGCACCGCGGGGATCCCTTGTTCTACCGGGTCTCCACGCCGCTGCTCTCCGAGGAACGGCGATTGGCGCTTCAGCGCGGCAGCTCCAGGCGCCGCGCCGCGGTTGCTGGCCTTCAACGGCTCGGTGGAGGTCCCGGCGCCGGAGGCGCTGCGCACTTGGCGTCGCTGGGCGGAGCACTGGGGATTTGGGGTGCGCAAGAAGAAGAAGAAGAAGAAGAAGTGTCAAGGGAGGAGGGTTACCAGTGTGGGTTGTGCGGGTGACCAGTTGTTCCAGCAAGTCAAGGACTTCATTTCAGTGCAACAGTACTCAATGAGGTCAAGGACCAGCGAAATCGCTAGATTCGACCGGCAGGGGTTCATTTGGACAAGTAGAGTAGCCGTGCTCGGCCTTAACACAGTGATGTCAGGTCAGGTCAGTGTGTCTCACTTCCTGACGAGCAGGTCGTGCGACCAGGTCGGTGGGTTGGACACTTTGTGACTCAAGACTTGAGGCATCCCTTTGAGCAGCCTGCGCTTTGAAGAGGTGGATTTGATCATCACCGCAACCGAGCTGCACGTGTAGATAGATGTGTTCGATGTGTTCTGCACCGGAACATCCGCTTCGGAACCGATCCGTGCAACTACCGTCTTGATCAGTCTTGGGTAAAGAGGGTCCAGTCCAATTTACCTTCCTAAAGGATGCCTTTCTTGAGGAGTAATTTTTGTTCCCCTGTCGTCACTCAATAACCAGATTGGCCAACTGTGATTCACTATGTTTTGATTTTCTTCGTCCTTGACTTTCCTTTTGCACCCGACCTTTGCCTACCCTCCCTGGTACTGCCTTTGGGTTATTGGTGAGTACAAGCAGCAACTACTTGTTCTCATCTCTAAGTAGGTGGCCATTGCATCAATTCATCCATGAGATAACGAGTGAAAAGAACTACACACCCTCCTCAATTGAGAAGACCTGGGTGTGGGCCACAAAATCCGCTTTGGAGACTCTTTATGCGATACTTTGGGGTCATTGAATCCTTTGGAGCGATGGCATCAGCATGGCGCCATGTCTTAAGTGAAGGCGTGTGCACTAGGGCGTCGTGTTTCAAATCCTTTATAGAACCCATTCCAAAGCCTACTTGAACCCTCCAAATTCGTGTGGCCCCTTTACACTGATTGCATAGGCCACCTAGGGGTCAGAGTGCACATGAATGCTGTCCTGTTTTTTCCACATGCGAAGATAAAATCCAGCTTCTATGCGGGCCGGATAAGTAGTGATAAGTATGCCTTTCCGGAGGCATGTGCAATGGTTTGTTATGGTTTGTTTCCATGACTTCTTTGTCAGACGCTTCCAGCAGTTGCGCACGCAACCATTTTTGGGTGGTGCCAGCTTTAGGGCGCATCTACCTGAAAAGGAAAAGTAACATGTTTGCTTTTCATTGCCTTCCATATGGCCTTGGACAGTTGAAAAGCTCGGTCCACCAATTTCCGGTTGCGTCTGCGGGGGTTGAGGCTTGGACGCCACGATCGCAGCGAATGATTTGGCCCTTGCTGTTCCTGTTGTGCTGGCCTACTTGAGGGACACATCCATTGCAGAGATGCCCAGGGCTGGCGGACGAGGTGTGTAGAAGGATTCCTTCTACAGGCAAACTTGCCTGTCATGATGAGTTCTTTTCGCTGAAGAAGCATATCGCACCCAGGAGCCACGAGCAGCATGTCTCAGCTGTTTTGAGTTTTGAATTATTATCCTTTTGTTAGATGTGGGGTCCAAGATCTGTTTGGGAAATATGACGTATAGTTTATGTTAGATGTTTTAACGTTTCAATAGAATAGATGTTTCGCCAACAACCTTCGATTTCTGTGATGCACTTGGGGCGCAAGCCACCTTGCATGCCACCATCAGCACCCCGCACTTGATCACTCGTGTGTTGCTGTGCAACCAGGAGTGGACATCGGCCGGAGGAGCCTCTCTCCTGCTGCTTCAGTGTCGCGAGGAGGCACTTGCCACAACTTGAACAGCTCGATGTCCAACATGGATCAGAGAACCCATTTAACCAAGTGGACCAATTTAATCATGTTCAATCTGGGGAACAAGGAATTTAAACACATATATATATATTTAATTATACACATTGTGCAGTTTATCGTAGATTAATGATGATTAAGGATTGATGTAGACTCTTGATTCATGGAACCCTTCACATGCAGAGGTTTTACAATCCAATTTGTTCTTACCAAGTTAATATACAATTCAGAGTCTGCGTCCTTCCCATGAGTTGGTCATTTCCCGTCGGGTCAGCGGATCAAGACCTCACCCGGTTGGTCTACCAGCACCGACACTGTACAGAGTCTCCAGTGTCATACCCTAAACGCCATTGACCCGCGGATCTCCGTTCAACGCCGTAGGAAGGTCCAGGTACTATCACATCCATCACCGACGTGGACCTTTCCAAGGCTTTTTCTTGCAGCCTTGAAAGAAGGTCAGACTGACGAAAACCAATTGGTTGGGTACCGTTCCTTTTCTGGCCTTTTTGATTCTTTTCGGGGGTTGGTTTCCCCCTAAAATCGAACCCATGGAACATGGGTTGACCGTTGACCTTTATTTTCCTTATTGTCCAGCAAAGCTGAGGGAGTGAGTCAGCTTTTGACACCGGACCTTCTCAAAAGGAGCGACGTGCACTACGCAAAGCAGATTCGCCCCTACCTGGAGTCTTAAAGTGCCGCAGAAAATGGGTACAAGTACCTGTTGTATAGGATCAGTGTCCCATGTTCTAAGGTTCTTTGGAGGGTCCAATCTGACCATTGACCCAGGAAAGGCTAACGCTAGAGATAATGCTAGGTACAAGGGTGTCCAAGGAATAGGGTCTTGCAATAGTAGTCTACAATTGTTGACCCCTGGACGAATCCATGTAGTTGTTTGTTTAAATCACGGACCTCACTAAGACAATGCAATTATTCTTTTGCCTTTGTTTAGCCCCTGCAGCCCCCTGCAGCCTTCATTGTGGGGCCACGGCTGCGCGCGAAAAATCTGAGAGCATGGTTGAGTACATAATCTAGAACCTCTACCAGAAGAACTCTTTCAAAGAGGAATCAGACGCTTCAGAGTGACCAACACTTGGTTGGGCCCGTTCCAGGGCCATGCCGGCGCTCTGGCGAGGAGATGGCGCACATGGGACCTTGAGGAAGACTGGTGGCACACGCGCAGGCAATGGACTCCTTGAGCAGCAGGCAGCGACCCCGCATCCCATGAGGAGCGAGACACCACCGAAACAAGAGAATATCAGTGGCTGCAGAGTAGATGGTACAATCCCCAACGGTCGGTGGTTGTGGTTGGTATGGACCCCCATCTGTCTAAGCCATCGTCCTAGGGGTGTTCCATTTACTCTGATAACCACTATAGACATGTACGATATGTGTACTTTCAGGATTTAGGACCATAGAAAGCTTATGCACCCGTTTTCCATGGGGACAAGCCGTGTTTTTGTTGGGCTGGAAGCTTCCTAGCATTTGCCTGTTTGCATTTTGTACGCTTTGAGGAGCATTCAATCACTGCAGAAGACCATCTCATAGTTTTGATATGTTGGGAGCTTATGGGAGTTCAGGGAGTTCATGTGCTGTTGAGTAAATGATTTTTCAGGTCTTGCTTTGCTGCTCGTCCCACGTGAACAACTGGGTTGCTTTGATGCTTCAAAGCAAGCAAGTTACCACTAGTTTTATGCCAAGATGTTCCTCCAGTTGGGCGCACCCCCGCGCCCCCAAAAACACACACCAAAAGAACCATAAATGAAGCAGATTGAACAAACAGATAAAGACCTCTCCCTGGCAAAAATATCCTTGTGCTTTGGTGGAATCATTCTGACTCAAGGGGGCAGAAGTAGGGGTACTTGTTGGCCTTGTTCTCCACCATGTTTTGGGGGCTGAAGGGTCCAAACGATCGCCCAGGACCCCCAGTGTCAGACGAGGACCCCGCGCGAAAAAAGACGGAAAGGACCGGCGTGGGTCGCTGCCGCACGGATGGGGGATGGGTCGACATGGGTGAACCTGAGGAAAATGGTCGTAACGCCCAGGTTCTGCTTGGGCTGTGGGTCATGGCACCAGGGTACCTTGCCTGACCTACCGACAAGGTCAAGCTACATGGTGGACCAGGGCTCCAGGTTTTGACCCAACACTATTTCAAGGTTTGATATGAGGTGTTTCGTCTCAGCTCGATCTTGACGTCGATTCGGCACACCGGTCACCGAGGTGTTTCGTCCGTTCGACTCCAACGCCATGGAATGTGCTCCGGCGATTGGGGTGCCAGCATGGTGGTGGGGTGCAGAGGTCCCGGGCACTGTCCAAAGAAATTGCCAAGCCATCCAGTGTTTAATGATGTTTAAGGTGGAGTTTTGATCCAAAAACGCATTGGCGTTGAATAATCTCTTCAAGTGTGTTTTGATTAAAGTATAGAGTCTACATTACAGGAGAGGAAGGCTGACGACGTTGCACCAAAATTTGCAAGAATCGCATGCACTCACTGGATGCCACCAGTGTCTCGTAACATGCATCTTGGACCATTGGATCATCTTGCATTAAATAGCCCTCACTCCCCCTATCTCCCCCCAGCAAATTCCTGCAGACAAATTGATTTGAGTCGCGGCAATAAACTGTACCCATTACTTTGGACAAAGTGAAATGAAAGGCGTCGAACAGCAAATGCAATATTTTTCAGGATTAGTTATTGTACAGTGGTAATGTAACTTAAGTCTATTATTGCAATCTAGAGGGCAGTTGAATTTTGAACAGGCAGTTATTCTTGACAGTAGCTTACAACATCTTACCACTGTGTGTTCTTGACATTAGATGGCATTTTCATATTTTAAGTTTTGGATGTTGATCTTGTGTAGGGTCCTTGCGGCAGTGTCCAGCTATGAATGGTTTTATCAATGGTATATCGTTGTTCCTCGACTTGAGAACCACCATGTTCTCGTCATTTCTGCACAACTTTACCTGAATGCCTTCTTGATGTTCCTGTTTGTCTATAGTTCATCAGACAAACAACAACGCCGCGGTCGCTGCGCTTTTTCGGAGGTACAAAGTGTGCGTGTGCGATGCCAGCGCTTCTGTCCAGAAGAGCCAAGATGGAACCACCAACATCACTTCAGGCGGAATGTCCAACATCAGTTCATTAGGCAGAATGAATGATGTTGCACGTAATGTCTGGAATGTCCAACATCACTTCTTAGGCGGAATGTCAGCAAATCAAACCAACGTTCTTGGTTTGCTTCAGAGGCGTTCCCCAAAAATAACACGCTGCACATCAGAGAGAAGGAGCTCATGGTCAGAACCAATTTAAGATGTATTAGTACATATTACATATTAGTTCTTGCTTTTCGTCTTAGTGCGGCTATTTTGCGATCTCCCCTTCCATCAATGAAACGTGAGCCTTTTACCATGTTTGGGCACTCTTTTTGATCTTTTTGCATCGATGTTTCTTGAGTGCTCCATCCATCCCCACATTTGGTGGGAGAATCACCTCAACACTGGAGATTCTAGACACGCTCCTTGTTGCTCGATCCAACGACCTTCTCCTCCATTTTGCTTTTCTGGAGGCAACTTCGAAGCCGCAGGGATTGAAGGAGCTGGTTGCGTGTCTTGACAATGATCGACCACACCAAACGCACTGACCAGGAGACGTTGCAGATCATAGCTCTGTTCACACGACACGGCCAGACGGTTGGCTAAAGCAAAGGGATCAACTATATTATAAATACTATCACATATTTACGCACATATATGCAGACAATTCACACACACACACATATACGCACATCACATATCATGTGTTTAAACACATGTTTCATGGGAGGTACTTTCTTTTTCAGGATTCAGCTGAAAAAGACATGTGGCTCTCAGGATTCGGCGGTAAAGTCAGCACTTTAGCAGCTGTTCTCATGTTGGCTCAAATGGTCAGGATGGCTTGGGACCCCCTTCTCGAAGGCACCTTCTGCGAGCAAAGCAGACAAGCACATGGAGCATCGCTGGGCATCACTTGGATTGGCTTATTTTACATTTGAATATCCTACGGTCCTACATGTCGAAGACCCTTGCCTCTTTGATTTCAACGGCAGACCCCTCTGCAAGAAACAACATTGCGACATCAACATATATAAGTCAAAAGCTCCACACTATCAAACACATGTCTTACTCCCCATGAAACAAAACAACAAAAAACACTTTAAAGCACTTCTTAATCAAAACACACATCACTTCGAGCGGGCGCCATGAACACACCACTGCTAGCCATAAACCCAAGCTTCGCCCTCGCACCGCCAGCGTCCTTTGGCCGCGGGTCGCGACCGGAGCGCGGGCCTCGGCCTCCACGGCGGCCAGCCGGACGCGCCGCGGTCGGGGCGACGGCGACGTGTGGCCTCGTCGGCGCAGTCACCGCGCGGGTGAGGCGAAGTGCTGCGCCCCGTGCAGTGGCTGGGCAGTGGCTGCGATTCGAGTTCCGGGGACGTGGATGATTTCGGGGATTGAATGACGCAGCAAGAAGGAAGATGGAAGCTGGTTTAATTAACGAAGGACCCTGGAAGTGGACGACCCCTACCGGTTTGTAGAGGAAAAGGGGCTTTCCCGGCGTGCACTTCCGTTGCACGGAGGGGTGGAGGGGGCCTATTTCCATCTCTAGAAGTCCGGCCTTCGCCGATCAGAGAGATGAAGGACAATCAAATAGGTGCATGCTTCGCAAAATGGAACTTCGATAACTGACTTGATTGCTGCTATGATTCCGAGACAACCCGCTTTGCTACAACATCTTAGATGCCGGAAAGGCATTCTGCCTTGCCAAACCTGCTTGCTTGAACCCTCCATACTGAAAACTCGCTGGTAACCATACTCGCTTGAATACCTGGACACACCACTTCAATGTATAATGTGGCCATGACCCTACAATAAACACGGACGACTGAGTCCCCAAATTTTGAGGAACAATGATTGGAGACTCGAGGTATATGCGCTTGTCCTCGCTTCTGAACTTATGACTCTTTTTTTTGTTGCGGTTTTCCGGGAGTTTGGAAGGGTGGGCTCTCTTGGGCTCTTTGCTGCGCGCTATGTCGATGTCGCAGCGACCGGTGTGCTCGGCCAGGTGAGCTCGGCCTATGTCCACATCCCGTTTTGCCGTCAACAGTGCCGCTATTGCGACTTCCCCATCGATGTGGCGGGCGCCCGTTTCTCGGAGCGCTCGCGGCGATATGTGGACTGCATCATCAAGGAGATTCAGGAGCTGTGCCGTGGCCGTCGCGGCGCGCTGAGAGTTTTTAAACCCTAGGGATCCCAATACCTTCTCAGAAGGCACTTGGACCCTCCCAATCACCGTTTGAGAAGGTGCTTGGATCCCTAGGGAAAGAAAATTCAGGATCCAAGACATTCCAAGACCTTCGACCTTCGCACTCACGGTGCGGCTGATACCAGGTCTTGCGACTGTGCTGTCAAGTGACTGTGGGCAGTCCAGCTTCGACCTGGCACGAGACCCGTCACACCGGTTTCGCGAAGCGTTCGCGCTCCACCAGGTGGGCGGAGCTGGCGAGTGGGTGCCCTTTGAGTGCTCGCCCTTGAGAACGCTGCAGCCTCGTTGCACGGCGCCCCCAAAACAACGGCGTGGGGTGGTTTGGATGTTAGACGCGTGTGGCAGCTGGTGAAAGAACGACCCTAGACTTCTAAGACCATTTTGAAAAATAGGAACGACCTAGGTGTTTGTAGTGTAAAATCCTTAGTTCATTCGATAAAGCCTATTAAATTAATGGTGGTTGGAAGTCTATAGGGTGGATATGTGCGTTATATGATATTGTCGTTTAAGTTATACTTATGAAGCACATCATTTAGTTTTTTTTTTGCGCATTTTGTGATACACCTCCACAGGTGATTGCTTGAAAGTGGCTTCGACCTGGTACAACTGGTATGGGTGTGACAGTGGCAGGAAGTCATAGGTTGGGAGAACTTGTCGCAGGTCAAGAGAAACGACCCATGATATTCAAATGACTGGTGCACTAGCTAAGTCTTGTGAAGCTCAGCTGAGCTTGTGCACATGGCACGGTCCGTGGCATGGTGCCGTCGGGGGGCCCCACTCTTCCGCTCTTGGGGAACAAGGCTCGAGCTTTCACTTGTGGTCTACGACGTTATTTTGGAGTTTCTTGGGGAACATGCCCTTTCTGGAGTGTCCCATGCAACACCTGCTCGGAGTGCGCACGTAGCTTTCGCATGCCCAAACAAAGCTTTTCACTTTCTGAAATTCCATGGCTGGCATCTTCCATGGTGAGCTCCGCACCGCCCTCCTCCCGCGGCCGCTGCCGCTGCCGCAGCCGCCAATGTACTCCGTCCGCTACTCGGCCGCCGAGGTATTTCGGTGGCGGCACCCCCTCGCTGCTGCCCCTCGAGGACTTCCGACGGCTCTTCGAGGCGCTGGCGCAGCGCTTCGGCTTTGCGCCGCAGTGCGAGATCACCGTGGAGATGGACCCAGGCCGTTTGGCAAACGCACGCACGGTGGTGGCAGGATGAAAGAGGGAACGCAGGGGATTTACTGCACACATGTTCTCCCAAAACAGTATCAGTATCAGTAACAGCGTATCCTAAATGATCCTAATATTGACGTTTAAGGGTCGCGTGCAAGATGAAACTATAGGGATCTATAAATTTAAGGGTACCTTCTAGAATTGTGCTGATGAACAAACAGCGAAAGAGATGGGATCGACCATGAAGACGTCAGTCGGCAGGTCGACCCGAAAAACATATGTATTTCATTTCATGCCTTTTCAAGAATACAGGGGTTTCAGAGGAGATGGCGCATTCCTCCAAAGGTGGCTTATATAGACCCCCAAATGTTTAAAAAAGAAAACACATGTGGGGGTTTGCCCCATCTACTCTGAAACTACTGTGCACTCCCTGAAACCTGGATGGCATGGCCCTGATTTCACAGGCACTTGGTCACCACATGTTTAGACGGCGTGTTGGTCCCAAACGAGCATTATGGGATGTGACATGATGCATCCTACACCTGGCTTTGCTTTCGTATTCTGTCGGAATTGTCCTGTTTGGCTGGAGTTGCTTGACCATGCTTCACCCAAGCGCACAGGGAGAGAGAGAGAGAGAGATAGAGAGAAAGAGAGAGCGCGCACCTGCCAACATAGGTTGAAGGACCCTAGTTCACTATCCCAGAGGTACCCCAGGTGACGGGTCCTAGTTCAGGTCACTTACACTCTGACTCACTAACATGGACGTGGAAAACCCTTCGTTTGTAGAGGACAGTAGTCTTCCAGGGCCCCATTTTCCACTTCCATGTTAGAGAGTCAGAGGGTAACCTCTCTTGGTGGCTCAGGCACCTTCAGTGGGGAGAAAGCCGCGGCCTTGGCCGAGCTGGGCGTGACACGAGCGTCGGTGGGCGTTCAAAGCCTCGATGATGAGCAGCTGCAGCGGTGTGGCCGAAAGCACACAGCCCAAGAGGCCAAGGAGGCCATCAGAGCTTGCCTTAGAATGCCTTAGTAAAGTTTAGATGGTGATCCTGTGAACATGGAGGAGATTCACAAAGAAGAGACAAGTGTGATTGTTGTTTGCATACATTTGTATTTGTACTGTCTGTTGGTGGTTGCTAGTCGTTGTCGTTGCGGTTGCGGTTGTTGTTGTTGTTGCTGCTGCTGCTGTTGTTGTTCCCCACCTGTCAGGTGAGGGTTGTTAGATTTTACGACAGCCCCATCTCCTCCTCCTTCTCCTCCACGTCCTCCTCCGCCGGACCTCAACCACGACCATCCACGCCCAGTGTTCCCTGCCGGACCTCAACCACGACCATCCACGCCCCGTGTTCCCTGCCGGACCTCAACCACGACCATCCACGTCCAGTGTTCCCTGCCGGACCTCAACCACGGCACACAACCACAACCACAATTACAAACACATAACCACAAACACAACCACAAACACACAACCACAAACACATAACCACAAACACATAACCGCAAGCACAACCACAAACGCAACAACAAACACACACAACTACAAACAGAACCAGAAACACACAACCACAAACACATAAGCACAAACACAATCACAAACACAACCAGAAACACGCAACCACAAAAACACAACCAGAAACACAACGACAAACACACAACCACAAACACACAACCACAAACACACAAGCACAAACACGCAACCACAAACACACAACCACAGACACACACAATCACAAATGCAACCACAAACACACGACCACAAACACACACAATCACAAACGCAACCACAAAAACACAACCACAAACACACAACCACAAACACACAACCACAAACACAACCACAAACACACAACCACAACCACAACTACAAACACATAATCACGAAGACGCAACCACAGCCACAACTACAAACACAATCACAACCACCACCAGCACCACAAACACAATCACAAACACACAGCCACAAACACAACCACAAACACAACCGCAAACACACAACCACATACACAACCGCAAACACATCCATAAACACACAATCACAAACATACAGCCACAAACACACAAACACAATCACAACCACAACACAGCACACAACCACAACCACAACCACAACCACAACACAGCACACAACCCGAGGGCCCACAAACAAAATCGAGAACAACAACACTCACGACCTTGGCAACATGCCCCTCACTATGGCATCAAGACAATTGATAGAAATGTCATGGTGGGGATCACTCGAAGTAAAGTATGTGTGTTGCTTTTGTTCTTGTTACTTGTTGTTGTGTTTGTAGTTGTTCTCATTGTTTTTGTTGTTTGTGTTTTTTTGGTGTGTGTGTGTTCTTGCTTTGGGTTTTGCCTGTTGCTGTTTTTTTTGTTGTCCTTGTTGTGGTGTTCTCCTCCAGGGTGATTTGTGGCAATTAGAAAATGCTACAATCAGAAATGTGTTGCTGAGCTTGTCACAAGCCTCAGTCTTTCTCAATGGTTTGTACCCACATGCACTCGTTCGAGTCTTCATGAGACGCGTGTGGTGTAAGGACTCTTGCGTTCAGTGGGACTAGAGAACATCAGCGCGGACCTTCTGAGTGGCTTGCCCCAGCAGAGTGAGGAGCAGCTGGCCGCTTGATTGACTTGGGATTGTGATGGATTTTAAACCGGAAAGTCACTGGAAAGCTTTGTCTCTCAGAAGTTTGGGAACAAACAACAAAAATATCGGCATTGGGGAAGTTGGAAGTTCCTGTGATGGATCTTCTTCTACCGGGAAGGTTTGGATTCTAAGGCTGGTGGGGAGAATTTGTGAATCTTCCTTGCAGCTTTTGAGTGGATACAGTCCTACGAGCTTGAACCCTGAACCCCCTGAGATTTGTTGGGGTGCAGGAGGTTTGGAGCTGGCCATCACCAGGCTCAGCAAACAAGGTCGGACGGAAAATCACAGTGAATCCCTCACCGAAGAGGGAGGGAGAAGGCGCCTCGGACGTGAAAATCGGAGTTTGGCCCAGAGTCCCAGAGGTCTCTGATCTTCACGAGCTGGTTGCGTGGGGCGTGGACCATTTGTCTGTCTATGACCTGCAGCACCCCGTCATGGAGAGGTAGCCGGGGTGGTGCAGCATTCCACCAGCTGCGTGGTTTGCAATGTTTCGGGACAGTGCCGCCAAACGCTGGAATTGGATGTTTGTTCTACTCCCATGGCCGCCATGGCCCTGTGTAGTGTGAGTCAACTGTCATAGACATCTCAGTGCTTGCATTCCTTTTTGGAGAGGTGTACAGTGACTCCAGACCGATCTGTAGCAACTCAGCTTTGTTCTGCGTTGTGCCCTTGTGCTAGATCACACACACGCCCGCAAGTGCTCCTTCTAATCAAGGGAAGAAACATGAAGAAACGCGGGTCCGGTAGAGCGTGGCTCGTTTCGGAACTCCCGCCGTTTCGACGGGCGCCTGGAGGTTGTAGGCGGATGCAGGCTTCAAGATGTATGAAATATTTACACATGGCCCCGAAAGGATGCAAAGTTATTCTACAAACAGGTGCTGCCATCCACTTAAGATCACTTAACCATGAATAGTTCAAGGAGTATAAGACATCTTAAAGCCACCCAAATGTATATACCCAAAGCCCTCCGCCCTCCAGGACTATTTTAACAAAATTGTTTTGTAGTCTAAATTCTTGAGTAAAACACTCGTTGTTTGGTGTCCTATTCATCAAGGGTGGGCCAGGAATCCTAATTAGGGTAACTTATATAAAATAAAATAAAATATATATTATATACATATTCTATGCATTTTCTGTTCAATATCAGGTTCAATGGTTCAACATATTGTTTCCCAAACATATGCTTTGGGCAGCTTCCACCGATCCCGGTACCGCCGAGGTACGAGCCCGGCACTGCCTTCGGCCGCCGCTGGCCCGTGGCCGGCGAAACGGGGCGGCCCGGCGAGGCGGCGGCCGCGGCGCTCTACGAGACGACGCATTGGGAGCTGGAGAAGTTGGGCTTCGAGCATTACGCAGCTCGGACTCCAAAACCACTAGTCGGTTGGTAGGATATGGTCGAAGCTCGGGCGGGAGTCCACACGGAACCCCTGCTATAGCCGGACCACATGGAACCCCAAAAAAACACCACGCCCGGCTTGGTATTCGGAAAATGGTCGAAACCACGGGTCAATTCTCAGGTTCTATGTTAGTTTGTGTGGGGTAATAATATGCCTGAACGCGACGTCCAAGGATATTGAACAAGCATCCAAGATGAACCTATATAACATAAACAAAAGCAGTACTTACACCCATGTTCTGAGGTTCTTTGAGGCTGCAGGTATATCAGAACCCTTCGTTTCGAGTGTTTATTCATAGCCCTTTAGGGTTAAGGATGGTTAAGGAGTGCCCATTAAGCATCCCATGATTTCCATGCTGCAAAAGATGTTGTTTGTTTGGCAATGTTTTTGAAACTACGGTAGAATTCGTGGAATTGTATTTATATGTTGTATTATTGTTGCCGTTGTTTATCATCTTGTTAATTGGGCAATTTATAGTCTAGTCTAGTTGTTGATTCTTCCTTTTTTATCTACCTGGAGAAATCACAACCCCAAGTGTTGTTGGACCATGACATCTCAGGAAGTGTCCAACTACGCCCGCTTCACCCAGACCCTTCTCCAGGGGCCCGAAGGAGGCGCAGCTGGAGGGGTCAGCAGCCGAAGTCAGCACAACCAGATCTACTGGCATGGTGCGCCCTACGCAGCCTACGGCAACGGGGCGGCCTCCTTCGTTCACTCCATTCGGGCCAGTCGGCCCCGCTCACTGGAGTCCTATTGCCGCTGGGTGGAAGCAGGAGATCGGGTAAGATGGAGCCTGTGACCACCCCCTTCCCAACAGAGCACAACGCTTAATTTGTTTTCAAGCAGGCAGGCAATTTTTTGCCGTGATTTAAACCGGTGACGAGGGGGGTGGCGATCTTAAACATGTTGGCGATGTTGTATGCTTGTTTTTGGGGGTTCGCTAGATTGCTCCTTATGGGGCTCGCGAGATTTAGAAGGGGCGATGAATGGCGAAAAAGGTGGGTCTTGGTAGTTTTAGGACATTTGCACCACACCAACATCATCACCTCACATAGCCATGTGTTCGTGTTTTCTCAGACCTTCTGGGATGACCTCTTCATCCCAGACATCACTCACCTGACATCACTTGACACCTCGCAGCTCAGCAGTTCCAGCGAGGAGGTCCTCTGGAAGGCTTAGAGTTGGACACCTCTCAGCGGGCGACGTGGCCGACGAGACGATGAGACACGGGTTTTGGGGCGACGAGCACACGGGCGGTGACATGCACCGGCCTGAGGGGGTCAGGCATGGTTTGTTCTTTGTTTTGGAGATGTTTGGCAAAGCAATGTGTGGATTCAACCTCCCAAGTATCAAGTTGATACTGTGGGCCTTTTGGAGTGCTCAAAAGAGCAGGAATTACCATGCCACAGACAGAGGTGTTGACATTCTCACTGCAGCAAAGGGCTGGTGATGTTTGCAAATCCAGTGCATGCGTCGGTTCCTTTGCACTTGGTGCTGAGTGGCAGAGTTACACATGACACAATGTTTTACACACTTTGCTTTTAGGACTGGGTGTTTTCTGTCGTTTTGTAAGCTCAGCATAACAGGTATCCCAGTATCCCCTCAGAATCCTTCCTGTCCAATTTTGAACAGCATCCCTTCATCTATATTTGTACATGCTTAACTTTGCCGTGGGATCACAAAGTTTGACCACTTGCTGCGTCGCATCATGTTTGCCAAAACAGGCTTATAGGTCCTAGGTTGGGTTTGTCCTATTAATGACCTGTACCAGTCAGTAAGCAATTAGCATTTTGAAGAACGGCCTGCCACCGAACCATCATCATCCACTGTTACTGGTAATAGGATAGACCCAGCTTATAGGTCTTGTGGCCATGTGCCGCACTGGCGACGTTCTCAGTTCCCAGACACTGCGAGGAGACCTATACCGGGAGCACTCCAACTGATCGGCCAACATAGGGTGTGTCCCGTTACCACTAAGAGCCTAGGAAGAGATACAGGATTACAATATCACTATTTTGGAAGGCCTGCAAGCCAATCATCATCATCCACCAAAAATACTCAAGATGGGAGATCCTTGGGCATTGGACGAAATATGAGCATCCCCTAGCCGTCCCACGAGCTCCAGTGAACCGAGCCTTCCCAGGACAGCCGGGCCGATGCACTGTGCGAGACCACCATGCTGCGTCTCCGCACCATGGAGGGCTTGACGCTTCAAGCAGAGGATGGCGAGACCGAGCGGTGCTTGCAGGCGCGGGTGGTGAGGGGCTGGGGCGGTCGGTTGATGGGGGGTGCAGCTATAGGGAAGTGGAGGGAGTCTCAGGTCTCAGGAGGGTTTGAGGTCTCAGGAGGGTCTCAGGTCTCAGGATGGTCTCAGGTCTCAGGATGAAGGAAACTGTTGGGTCCGGAGCTGGCGATAAAGCATGTTTGAACTTCTGGATCGATTTGCTTGCATCGATCTAGTCACCGCGCCAGGCCATCTTTGGTGCCCTGGAGCCATGGCAAGAGGCAAAGCTCGCCTCTGCCTCCTTTGCCGATGGCTCATTGGTGGCAAAGTTGCTTCCACCGAAGCCTGGTCCACATCATATCGTCCGAAGACGCGACGGTGGACGGGGGATGGCGAGTTCAGAGGACGAAACACTGAGTAGCAAACCGGTGGGAAACTTCACTTCCATGATATTTCCATGTATTGTGAAATGTCAGAGTCTAACTGAACCTATGGCCAGTCATACTCGTGCTCATTAGTAGGGAATGAGGGAATGAACCACTCCTGTAGATACCTCAGGATCCATTCCCTTATTCCTTTCAAGTCGCACCAGTCAGCAGTTTGATGTTGTTTGGTGTCACTCCACTCCAACCGTTCAAGAAGGGGGCCGCCGAGACTGGAAGCTTCCGCTGTGCAGCTCGTTGGCGAGGTTACCGAGGTTACCCAGGTTGGTCAACGGTGTGGCGTGGTTTCAACCGCGGTCGCAACGCACACGTTTGGTTGACCCCGGGTCGGGTAGCGTTTTGGTGGAAATTCCGGCCCGGTGACCCAGTGGCCTGAATTTTGTCTTTTTAGTAGCGTTCGATCGCTCCGTTCGTAGCGATGCCCGAAATGCTCCGTTTAATTCGCGTCCGATCGCTCCTAGTAGTAAGGCCAGGAGCCCCGTTCGTAGCGACCATTGTTCCTAGTAGCGGAGCAGCTCAGGAAAGGCTTCCTGGTTTCAGATGCCATCCTCTCAGACGCCTTCGCTGCAGTGATGAGCTTGCCCGAGAAAAAAAGACGGTCGTAAGCGGTGCATTCCCCACCATGCCAAGCAGTGTAGACTGTAGATACCTTCGGCTATATAGTATGAGAAAATGAGACCTACTTCCGGCTGGGTGTGAGGTCACCTACTTGAGGCTGGTGAGCAGTCATTCAGAGATTTGAGTTTTTGACTATTTATGATGTGTTATGCGGTTCTGTGTCGTGATGCGTGCTCTTTGACATAGGATTTGCCTGGCTTCAATCTTACCATGGCTTCCGAAGCTCCATCGACGAACGCAATCATGTGTCAATAGATGTCACAAGTCCCAGCATACTATACCATGTGGTAAGTGCACCCAGTGGAGCCCAGTATAAAGAACCCGACCGACCCGACACACCTTCCTTGATTTTTCCCGACCGATTGGTGGATTTTGGTGCACGCTGTGTAGTGAAGGAGAATCGAGAATCCGCTGCTTCGAGCGGGTTCCGCTCTTGCTGAGGCCACTCCATATCAGTACCTCCATAACCCTGAAGAGGGGCCTGCGGCCGAGCAAAGGGGAAAGAGGGGACAGGGAGAGCAGATGAGAGCGGGCTAGAATGTGCGGTGGAAAAAAACAGTAGAATCAACTCTGAGGCTTGCACTCTTTTTGTAGGAGGCTTCCAAGAGCATGCATGTGTGGAGATATAGAACGCGACGCTGGTCGAACAATGTACTCCAACGCATGCATGATAGCCTGTCAATCCCAAGGGCCAAATACCAACGAACGAAGGTAACAACTTGTTCTGGATCCAATGAAATCCTTGGAGTGGCACAACACCAGTGGCGCAAAGCTGGAGTTGGAGGACTTAAGGGACAGGATCTCCCCCGTTAAGAAACGCGGTAGATGCCTGCCCCATGTCACCTCCGTGCCTCCATCCGCCAAGGGCAGTGTTCCAAGTTCTGGAAGTGATGATGCCCAGAGAGGACCCTCCCATCAGCGGTGAAGTCTTTACTCCAGGCACGGCGCCCCGCCTGGTGTTCGGAGCGGAAGGTAGGTGACAGATGACATACGACAGACGAGATCTGACGAGCACATGGTCACGTGGATGGCCCATGGGCCCTTGGAAGACCATGTTTCGACCTGCAAACAGGTGGTGCCATCCACTCGAGTGTAGGTTTCTGTGTTCGTCCGAGTGTAGGCTGGACAACTGCTCACTCGGACTCCCCTGCGTTGTTTGGAACCCCCAGCGCTCAGTAGGTTCAGTTCTTTGAGCTCAGCTGGGTTCCAGCGCTCCTCGCATCCAGCAGATCCGTGTCCTGGTTCCTTGCCACCACACAACGGGTGAAGTGCCAAACAGAATGGTTGGTACCCTAAGGATCCTTGGACCCTTCTTAGAAGGGGTCGAACCCTCTATAACAGGGGCTTCGGGACCCTCAAAACCCTTTCCTTTAGGGTAGAGTATCACTGGGATTTGGTGAATGGATACCCCTTGGGGTACTGGAAAGTGGCCGCCACGCGTGGAATGTACAGGAAGATTGTATGCAAACCGATTGCCTATTTCTCTATATATATATATATAGATTGATCAAAGCAAATGTTTCATCAGAACGGAATGCAGTAGTGCATTGATATGGAATGTAGATGAATGTGGCACCAAACACATGTTCCAGGCATTTTTCTTCAACCGCTGGCCAATGTACCCCATATTGGGCTTGACTTGTGTGGATTCGGATCCTGCTGCTGTGTGGTGGGCAGGTGTGATCGTTGCGATCGCTGCCACTGGCCTTTGCATTTTTATTGCTGTTGGTGTGGCCTAGACCTCAGCGATCAGTATGCCGCAGCCAGTGACATCACAACCAGAGGCCCTGGACCCCCAGCGAGGAGATACCGAGGTACGTGACGGGTGGAGGACTCGCCTCACTTTGTGTGAGGATGCATTTGCAGCTTTTAGGGTGCAGTCTTCAAGCGTCAGCTGCTTTCTGGGAGGGTGGCCATGTGCGGGGCGCGTACGACAGCTCAGTTCCATGTCACCTAAAGGCGGCCCTGGACCCTCGAACTGAGACATGTGTGAGGTCCAAAACCCTATAGCTAGTGGTGGGGTCAAGGCCGGTGAACTGAGGGTCCAATGAGCCTTTGGCCAAGGAACCATGATCCCCTTGTGGGCTTCGATACCATGCCTAACATCTCTCTTTCATCGTGCTCCGTCCTCAACAGGCGCCGCACCAGGGTCTACCACGGAACCGTGCCGAAGTGCCTTTGTGGGAGACCAAAACGCTATCGACCGCAACAGCCTGGACTCTGAGTTCGCACCTCAGAAAGATGAGTATATATACAAGTATACCATAGCCCAAACGCTCCATGGGACTGCCATATATGCCAATCAATTGGGGTGGTGCCAGGGGGGTCAATGGGGCGGCATATAGTCCAGTCCCATGGAGTGTATGGGTAGCATACCTGTTTGCATAGGGTCTTGTTCATGGCCCCGGCCCTTGAACGGTGCTTGAAGTCGGGTCCAGGAGGTTGCGAGGTCGGTGAGGACCGGCAGGGCGGCACCTGGCCCGGCAGGCGGTCCGCGGGATTGGTGATCCTACCGCAGTGGTTTTGTTTGTTAAAGACATGTTTGGTTGGTGGAGTTGGCTTGGAGTTGTGCCTTCCTTGGCAGCATGACGTTCAATCTTTTCATGGAATGACCGATCATGTGCCTGTGATGGCTTTGAATCTGACCTCTCACGTTCCCGAGGTTCGTCAAAAGCTGAAAGGCAAGCCAGCAAAGGCGGGGATGGGGGGATATCCTGGTTTTAAGATGTTTTAAGGTTATTTTTAGTGTTTTCTATGATAGCTATGGGTATTATATATAATACATCTCCTTCATATGTTTTAGCTTTTCCCAGTACCTTCATTGAAGGCATTACACCTTTGGAAAGGTGCCCTCCACCTCCAGGGCCCCAAAACGGCCAAAGAGAGATCTTCAGTTCTGCGCCAAAAGCGCTTTGCGCGTGGCCCGCATGTGGATGCCACCGGAGGTGGTCGATGAGACGGTCAGCAAAGAGGGCAAGGACGCGCTGGGCGCGCGTTGCGCGCGTTGTTCAGCAGGGTTCGAACCGCGAGGCGGTTCGATGGGTGTCGTTCAATTGAAGAGGCGCATATAATCTAGATCTCCCAAATCTTCTAATGACTTATTTGACTCCACCTGGCAGTCATAATCCAGCACTGCCATAGGGGTAAAATGAGTCATGACTGGACTCTCAGGCATAGGTGGGCCAATGTTTATGGCCCGTCTTAAAGAGCCGTTTGCTGGTTTGAGGGTCGGACGGGCCTTGCTGTCAAAGAAGGTACACTCCCCGGGATCATCATGGAAGCAGATGGTATACCCGATTTCGGATGACCGTGAAATCCAAATACCAAACACGTGGTGAACTCCACTTCCATGATTATTCCAGGAAGTGCGGAAGTGCATTGATATTGTTTGGTGTTGGGTTGAAGCGGATTGCAACTGACAAGACATGACAAGACATTTGTTGCTATGTTTGTTTGCTTGTTTTTTGTTTGTTTGTTTGTCACGAAAGCTAGCATCAGCTAGCTGGAGTTGCTCTTGCTTTAGCAAGTCAAGGGCTCGCAGCCTCGAGAATCATGAATCACGTGAAAACTTCACGTGTAGGGGGG